GATTTGGGGTTACTTCGGAGAAGCGCTGGTAGAGTTGGCTTCGGCAGCACTCATTGCGATTGAATGGTGACACCAAACTTCTACATGTAAAAACAAATATGTATACACACACAGCCCAAGGTTTCCTTCCTACGAAACAAGAGTTTTCATTCAATTAACTCTTTTTGGTGCCACAAAAAATGCAGATCGCTATGTCCATGGCTGTTGCTCTAATAGCTGTCATAAAGCGCAACACAAGATGCAAAGGAGCTGTCTTCAATCTTCAAGCGACACTCCTTAGATCTGATCAACACATCAAGGGAAGCTCGTTTACTGGTAGATTTTACTAAACCCGGCAAGGGGCCTGAGTCTTCCAGCAGTTTTCTTAATCAAGCAACCTCCCACATAGCAACGGCCTCAAAGTTCCACCCTGCTGTGGTTCGAATCGGTCCGCAGCCCTCAACCTAAAGACTCAAATGGAGCTCGAGGCCGAGAGCCGATACTTCCGGAACCCTGAAGGCCAGGAATATCCAGGAATCCTATTTCCCCAAACCCCGAATCCTAACCCTAAACCCGAAAACATCCTACAAACCCTAAACCCTAAACCCTACAAGCCCCGATAGGCCACCATTTCAGGGTCCGGCCATGGAGAGGGTTGAACTGCCTTTGCCTGCGAAGCACGGCGCGTCGGGCTTTCAAGGGTGTACTTCGGAATCAACCCGTTGGATGATATAGACTGCGGGATTCGGGGTCGTGGGTTCTTTATTTTGCTTCAATTAGTCGGTAGAGGAATTTCAGGAGTCCACCCTCACGTCTATAGTATCACTTTTGATTAATCTCCGTTCTGCTTAGGACCCTAAACTCCTAAACCCTAAACCCCTAAACTCCTAAACCCTAAACCCCTAAACTCCTAAACCCCTAAACTCCTAAACCCTAAACCCCTAAACTCCTAAACCCTAAACCCCTGAAACCCTAAACCCTAAACCCCTAAATCCCAAACTTAGGCAATGAAACAAAGGAACTACACTCTGGAGTCCAGGGAAGCCGGGCTGAAGGCGACCAAAGAGGTGTAGGGGGTCTTAACTAGGATACCCAGTAACCTAAGAATAAAAAGGCCTCTCTTTTTGGTATTGGGTAGCTTTATAAGGAACCTAGGACTACAAAAAGGGAATAAGGGTACTACTGGGCATCCTAATATACCTTAACCTACCGCTTTTTGTAGGCTCTTAGTACAAACCCTGATATGGAATTTATAGGGACCCTACAAAAAAGTAGGTTTTGGTAGCTCAAGGTAGGGACCTAAATATTTACCAAGACTATTCTGGGGCTCCTTAGTATGGTTATAGTATGATGTACACGTTTCGGGCTTCAGGGATTAAGGTTATTCTAATTATAGCATGATGGACCCAAAAACGCCATTCTAACTGTAGATTCTAGCAATTAAGGCACCTATATTCACGTAAAATGTTTGCTTGCAGCACTGAACATGGCGCAGGCATTTTCGCAGTGGCTAGCTATTGCATCGCGGTTGTCTCGGTCAAAGTAGGAGAGCTAGCTGCTACTCTCCATCTAAAACAAACCCTTGCATGGTCGGGGCCGGCAATGCTTCGATACACCAGAAGCTCGTTCGTACAACAGCCGTGACATCAGACCGCAAGCATATAGAAGCCTGAATACTTAGGGCAGTGTCTCGAGGAGCTCTAATCACTATTATAGGCTTGTTTGAGAACACCAACGAAGAATATCACTTATGTACTGCCCCCCATACGGTAAGAGTCCATAATGGGGCTACTATTACCGTCCTAATATATCTTTATTATGAATATCATTCAACTATTACTGAGGGGGGGCCGTACCTAAAATATCACTCACTACTCCCAAAGCTATAGATTAATATTCATATCCTAAATTGCGGAGATGCCTTCTGTCAATGCCCGCTCTCCAATCTCGACCAGCAACACTTGTTATGTAATATGGGGGCCTTGATAATTGGAACAGGGTTTTGGGCCCATTATGCTGTAACTAAGTAAGGACCCATCCCCCCATAAAAAATAGTATAGGTCATTATTTAGGCCCCTTTAGTAATCCTACAGATCGTCCCAAGAATCAGGATGACAAGAAACCCCACATACTTGCGGCGAGCCTGCTTTGTGATGTATATCCCCTTAGGCTCCACGACTTCATTACCTACACCGTACATGTTGGTGTATACTTATAGGCCTTAAAGGTACCTACATAGGAACCGTGTAAGGCCTACGTACGCTTACATAATATTAGTATTATATACCTAGGCCATGAAGTACCTATATATGTAGGAGCCCTGAAAGCCTAAGTATACACTACATGTGTACATGTAGCCTCAGAGGTCTTTTCCTGCTATCGAGCAGCACTCGATTGTCCCTTAACCGCCTCGGCGACACCACGACGGCTTAAAACTGCATCAATAGCACATCAAACCCAGAGTATGGGGGATTGTAGGGCTATGCATGCATTATGAGGACCATATTATGTACAACTAATTCGATTATCTAGATTTGAGGTCAGTGTTACGGCCTTTGCAACGAAAGCTGAATGAATGCTCACGGACGATCACCCGAACACCCAAGTAACGAAATCCAGGATCCTTTGGTATCATGCAGCGGCTGAAGCGAGTCGAACACGTCCCGCTATAGTTTCGATCATACTCTTCGTATATCGAGGTCGCCAGGCCAACCCCGGAAGGTGCGAACCCTTTGAAGCCCTGCGCCCCATGGCCTTTCTTCGCGTCAACGACCTCGTTGCCCGCATCCTGTGCTTCGGATCAAGAGTGCTGCAGGGTGTTTTTGTAGCACCATAAGCCCCAGGTTAAGGATTAGGCCTAAACCCTAAACTTTAGGTCCCAAATGGGAGTTGCCAAAAATAGGGGACCCTAATATAGTACCCTAAATAGTAAGATCTTTGTTTATGAGGACACCAAAATGAGCTATCCCTCATTGTCGGAAACTCAAAAATCCGAAAACCTGAACCCTTGCTCTCAGTAGCTCGAAACTCTGGTGTCTGTGCAGAACACTGGGGTCAGGGCCGGTGGTCTACTGTAGGGGCCTCAATAAGTAGAATAGGGTTCCTTTACGGGGTCCTTCAAAGGGGTCTATAGGGGATATATCGTAGGGTTCTATAATATAGGCGCTTTCATACAATTAGAATAGGGTTTTGGGAGTATGGTATACTATAACTCTACTAAAGAATCACCAAAATAGTGTCGGAAATGATTTAGGCTCATAGAATTAGAATAAGGTTTTGGGAGTATAGCATACTATAACTTCATTAAAGAATCCCCAAAACAGTGTCGGAAATGATTTAGGCTCCTACAGTCGCCGGGAAGACACATGAAGGGACTGTCGAGGACAACCCAAGTCCCCATCACCAGACTGTGAAACTGCGAAGCCCGAAGCCCAAGTTTGTCATCCTTAGGATTCTATAAAAGCTAGATCCCTTAGGATTCTATAAAAGCTAGATCCCTTAGGATTCTATAAAAGCTAGATCCCTTAGGATTCGCTAGAATCCTTAAACTAGGCTTTGTGAGGTTTCGATACAGATATATCAGAGATCCCAACGGAATCATCTTTCCAATTACTCAGCCCCCTTTCTGGGAGGTTGTCAAAATTATGGTCCCTTTTTTGGTCCGTAATACAATACGCACCTGAATATTAAAGGTAACCAAAAAGGGACCCTGATTTTGACAACCACTCATACATCAATACCCTATACTCGGGACCCCCGCCACCGGACCTGTCGTAGAGAGGGAGGTATCGCTGATCCAACTTTGGACCCTAAAGAACCTACATGTGCAATTGCTGCAATATTGGGGCCTTATCCGTTTGAATAGGGTTTTGGGGAATCGTAAAGTATAGATTCAGCTAATCTAAGGAAGGGCCGAGATACCGAAATCAGAATACGGGAACGCCCTCAAATTCCGACTCCTCCGACCACACACCCAGGCCCCTGCGGTCTAAAGCCCTTACCCCAAGCCCTGACCCTAAAACCCTCAAAAGCCCAAAGCCTTACTTAAAGGATCCTGGGACTTAGTAACTAGGGTTCCTTAAAGGGTTCCTTAAAAGGGATCCATAAGAGCTCTATAAGAGGTGTTTTAAGGTTACTTAAAGGATCCTGGGACTTAGTAACTAGGGTTATGATTGGAGTAACTATACTTATAGCTACTTATAACCCCAACTAAGGTACTTATAACCTTACTTACTAAGTCCCACGACCCTTCAAGTATGGGGCCCTTGTGCAACCCTTGAATGAAGGAACCCTGGAACTTCCCCCCTCCAACACCACCCGACAATGCAGTAAGTTATAGTCATAGGGATCCTTAGGGGTGTAGGGGGAGGGGGGGTAGCGGGCCTTAAGGCCCATAATAAGGACTAATAAGGCCTATTTGGATCCCTATGATATAGGTCCTCATGTGATTTATGTTCTTTAGAAGCTTACTAAAGGGGCCTGAAAAGCTTGAAGAGGGTTGTGGGGCCCATTATACTATACAGGGTTTAGGGTTTAGGGTTTAGGGGGAACTCCCAAAGCAGTATTGGTAGTTCTTCAAGCCCCTATATTATACTCCCAAAAGTCTAATCCAAACAAGCGCCTAAAAGATTAGAAGAGGATTCTGGGTTGGTTACTTGGAGGATCATGGGACTTATTAAGTAAGGTTATATGTACCTTCATTGGGGTTATAAGTAAAGCCCCCTAACTACCACCCTAGTTGCTAAGTCCCCTGATCAGGCGTCTGGCCCGAGCGTTGGAAGTAGTTTCCCTTGTGGTCCTTCCCTCGCTCCAGCCTGACCCTAAGCGAGGCACAGACGTTGCCCGCGGTGAGCTGAAAGCCTGTACGCACTGCGAGGGCTCCTTCAGCAATACTGCCCCACTGACTCTACCAGACCAGTGGCTGGCTTTTACACTGTCTGTTTCTCCCCTGACTATTCGGTCTGGTGGAGAGACATTCAGTCTGTGGATCTCCTTTTCAATTTTGACTGCCTCTCCTGTTTATGATTTGGGGCTCGCGGTTCGTGGGTCTCCTCATCTTCTGCAGCTTTGGCACCGCATATCAGGGAACCCGCGAGTCACCGGCGGCTCCGGAGACAGCGGACACAAGCCAGGTTCGTTTTGAGGGCCTGGCTGAGTGGCATCCAACAGTACAGCAGGAAAGCTATACTCAGCTCGTGCAGAGCACTGGACCATCACCACAGTGCCAGCCGGCTACCTATTCAAGCAAGGCTTCGCCTTTGGAAAGGAACAATGGCCAGTCGTGGTGGACAAAGCGGCTGGTGGTGCGAGCATTGCAATCGCCAGAACAAGCAAGGAGCCAACTTCTGTCCAGGGTGTGGCAGAGGCTGGAGTCCCTGGCAGATGCCCTACACGGCTCCTGGCAAGGGGTCGCAGTGGCAAGATTGGTGGCGCGACGAGACCAAATCGCCGCGCAGCAGACAACAGCCCTCACCGAGACGACACAAGTCGAAGGGCAAGGACAATGGCAAGGGCAAGGGCAAGCCGCCCGGGCCCAAAGGGGGCAAAGGCAAGACCGAACCCCCACCGACGGCTCCATCCATCGAGGGCCTGCCCGCAGCGCCGTCCGCCCCGGCGCTTGCAGCACCCAAGAAGCCGGCGGCCGAGGCAACACCGGCGCCGGAGAAGACGCAGTTGGAGGCACTACTGGGTCTTTTGGTCAACTCGGCTGTGCCTCTTCCGGATGGGGTTCAGCAAATGGTGCAAGACATGCAACAATCCAGCTCCCAGGCATCGGCCAAGGTGCTTCACAGAGCTGTGACGGATCAGTCAAAGGCTCGTCAGGCCCTGGCTCGCATTCGGCTACAGCGGTCCACCTACATGGAGGCCTGGAGAGACTACCTTGTGCAGCTATCTGCACTCCTCGAGCAGCAACTGCAGGAGCAGACGACCATCCTGCAGAGCTTCGACGAACACGAGACCCAGTGGATCGGCATGGAAAGCCAAGCGACGGTGCAGCTTTCCAAGCTGACCAGTGGGGACAAGGAAGCCCCAGACTCGATCGAGGGGACCGAGCGAGATGCGGAGATGGCAGAGCAGCAGGTGGACAATGCCATCGAGACGGAGCAGCGGCTTCGTGCAGCATCGGGCGAAGGCCAGGAAGCCACCAAGAAGATGATCGCGGCTCTCTCGGAGATGAGACAGAACGCAGAAGAGCAGATCCGAGCTCACACCAGAGAGGGCTCGCGCACACCCCGCCGCACTCCTTTGATGGACCTCACCGGCGAGGACAAGAGCGAGGAGAACGCCGAGGACAAGAAGGATGGACCCAAGCAGGCATCCAAGTTCCAGCTGGGACTCCCTGGCGGGGCCCGTACCTAGGTCTACGGACTATGTGCGGGCCTATCAAGCTCCCTTTACAGGTTGAGCCACATTCCATTATTCAGGACCGGACTTACGTCGGTCCACATGCGTGCAGGTTGCTGGCTATCATGCTAAGGTTTGAGACGGCTCTTGCTTGCAGTGGTGTTTGCGGCCACTCCATTTGGGAGGATGGCCGCATTTCGGGAAGTCGGTGGCCAGTGCCTGTCGATCTCGACAGGGCGGTTGCCACAGCCAAGTGGGAGCTTCTGCTTCGTGTTCCTATTTGGGAAAATGACGCTGAGAAAGACCTAGGTCTGCTTGATCGTGATGCCCTTTCTACTGCCAGTATGAGCCCTGAGTACCGATCCCCCTCGTCGAGCATGGGTTGTCCGAGGGTGCGGGTTGATGCCTCAGAGCTGGCACTGGCTAAGACAGGGCCTCCGGTCACTCGAGACCATCCCACAAAATGCAATGAGGACGCTAGTTTCCTCGGACTTGTACAGACCTCGAGGGCATGGTAGGGCGCTTTTCGTGCAGCTTTCCACTCTCCCGCTTTCCCGGGACCACGCACCTGTTGCCGCCGCCAACCTCGATGCCCTGTCGCAGCATGTGCCACATGAGCTGAGCACTGCAACCAGTCCTTCTTTTGTCACGGTCGCCAATTTTTGTCCTCGCGCTGTCTCTCTGCCGAGAGACAGCCCCCGCCTTTGCAACATTTCTGCGACAGGCGACCAGTGCCTGGCAAGCCGTAGCTGCCTTCTCAGGCAAAAGAAGTATACCACAGCCCGAGTGCATTTTGCATCGCAGGAGCTGCCCTCATGCAACACGCCCACAGGATCAGGCCCCACTGAGCCCTCGACGATTGTGCCCCCTGGAGAGATCACACCGCCGAGTGCCAAAGCCAGCGCGGCTTCCGCCAGAAGCCCAGGACAAATTGCCTTGTTCAGGGCAGAGGCAATCCAGGTATATCCTGCTGAGGTCCGTGCTGCTCCTATCTTTAGCTCGCCGGCTCACTTGTTTTCCTGGGGGTCCGGGGCTAGGTCTGGGAGGTTCACGGTTTTCGACCATGTACGCCACGTCACGACAGAGCGATGTCTGCCTGCAGCCAGCCTGGCCGATATGATTGCCTTATCGTTGTCGGGCCTGCCTTTCACAGCCTCGGGGGTAGTCATTCTCGCACACACACTGCCTGGCCTTCCCTTGCCCCAACTCGTTTTCATCGAACAGGGAAGGACCCCGACAGAGCTTCCAATTCCTTGGGATCTCCGTGGCATTGGGGAACGCATTGTCACTCTCAGGCATAGCAGTGGCGACCAACGCGACCTTGCTCTTCAGGCAGTTCAGCCGCATGTGCAGCAGCCGATTGACCTGAACAACGAGCTTGAACGAGGGTCACTTCACCTACAGGATGCACTGGGACCGGTGCAACAGACCCTACAAGTCAACCTCCATGCAATTCAGCACTTCAGGCTGTCGCGGACCGCCGAGCTTGCTGTTGCGGTTTGGGACTTTAGTGGGTTAGTTGATGATAGGCCCGGACCCGATAGCGCGGCCCCAGTGACCACTACCACTACCACTGCTGTTCGGGTCACGCCCATGCTGGTGCAATATCCGAGCTGCCGACTTGTATTGATGAGGGGCAACATTGGGTACTCATGCGTGCTCACCAACCAGCAGCATCTTGTTGATGCCGCCATGTGGCGTTTGATACAGCAGCATGGCTCTGACGCGCCAATCAGCGATGAGGCACAAATCGTGCTGGCCGCCGCCCAGCCTGCACGTCAAGGACCGTACCAAGATGTAGTCTGTCTCCTGCTGGAAGATCCCGATGACGTGACGGTCCTCTGGGACGGTCGAGTCCACCAGAGCGTTGTACAGACTAGCACGTACTCCGCCTTCCAGCAGACTCAGCTCGTGCTTACACCACAGTGGCAAGAAGCTGGATGGCGACTCGCGGTGAACGGAGTACCCGATGCACACATGCCGCGCACCTTGAGAAATGGAGATCTTATCACTCCCTTTCGATGCAATCAGGTCCCACCGGTTGTTCCACTCGGATGGCCACTGGCGCACTTTCCGCTGCTACGGCCCTATGCCTTGCCTATCAGCATCACTGCCAGCGATAGGACCTTCATTCGGGGTTTGAGGCTTAGGCGCCTTCAGATGGGCCTCCATCTCATCCAAGAGGGATCCGTTACGGTTTATGGCCCGGCCCATGCGGAGCTTCATCTTTACACAGGCCTGCACTCCGTGCCCACCTGGGAACAGGCTCTTGCGGCCGTACGCAGAGTACAGGGAGTGCCGGGGTTGCTTGACTTCACCATCACCCCCCTAACCGCACCCAATGCAGTTGTTTTGGTGAGCTCCACGCCCAACTGTGCGCAACATACAATTCTTGTGCCGGCGCCGGGCTATCCCTGTCAGTTCCTCCCGCTCATGGTGTCCGCCCACACGAGACACCTACGAGGCGTTCCTGCCGATGCAGGGGTTGTACTCGTGCCACAGCGTGGGCTAGCTAGAGGGGATGTCTTGGTTGCTAGGGCCTCTAATGCTGCGTTCTTTGCAGATTCGGACAGCTCCATGGACGAGGACACGTCAGCTCTTCTGCAGGTGAGCGCTGCCAACATCCCTGCTCGGATCTCAGGACCCCCCTCTCAAGCGGCCCGGCGGAATCTCGGGTTTTTCTTCAAAAACCGACAATTCCGCCGGAGGCCAAATCTCAGGTTTTTCCTCAGAAACGGACAATTCCGCCAAGGGCAAAACCCCTGAAAGCTCGGCAGGAAAGTTGGCAGTGAGCGCTGGCGAGCCGCGGCACTCTCTTCGGCCGAATCGGGAGTCACAAGCTGAAGGTGACGCTGTGCGCACGACAACCCACAACTGTCCCGTGGTCACCCCCTTCGGCAGAAGGAGCCTTCCCGCGCAAAAGGCCGTCACAGAGGCCGGTCGCACCTCTGTTCGCCTTTCTGAATGCTTGCCGCTGCAACCCAGCACTGACGTTGATGGGCCTCCACAGAGACAAGTCAGCTTACAGTGCGGAGTTACACCAGACATGTTCGATTTCATTTTCCGTGATTTTGGACTCGAACTTTTCGACCTCGATTGGAAAGATGTGCCAGCTCTCCCTAGCTGTTCCCGGGGTTTTGTAGCCCTCTTGCCCAGAATTGATCGGGCCAAGCCAATTGAGGCAATCCAGCTTTACGTGGATGGGTCGTACTACCCCGACACCGGACAGGGGGCGCGAGCCGGCTGGGCGATCTCGGCCTTAGGGCTTCAGCGTGGTGTCTGGGGTTGGATAGGCTTGTGTGCGACCAGCACTCCTGCACGAGGGTCTTCTCGTACTCTTCAGACTTCGGTTGGATCCTCATACGAAGTTGAGCTCGCGGCTCTCTGCTACGCGCTCGCTGTTGCTTGTGCCTTGCCAGCGCCCACCATGGTCGGTTACGATTCAACTTCGGCAGGCGACATTGCCAAGGGTGTTGTTACTGCTGAAGTCCAGACCGGCCTGACTTCGGCGGTTGCTTCCCTCGTCCATCTGCTTGACGTGTTGGGTCGTCAGCCCAACTTCCTGCATATCAAGTCGCACCAGCAGCATCCCCTCAACGAACTTGTAGACTGTGCTGCAAAGGCGGCAGCCAATGGGCATATCTGCAGCCATGTGCCTGATACCCTGGCCGCTGCGGAAAGAGAGGGGGTGCTCTCGTGGCTGTGGGCGGCAATCGGGGCCCTTGCTTCTGTACCGGCTCTCACCCCCGCTGGCCTCCTTCTCGACTGCAATCCGCCTGCCACTGAGCCTGCTCTTTCTGAGCTTGTCGTTGACACCCCATGCTCAGGCAGGACTGTTCTGCATTTTCAAGTTGCGTCGTATAATTGTCTCTCACTCGCCTCCCAAGCCCAGAAAGAATCCCTGTGCGACCAGTTTCGCCGGGCAGGAGCCTCCATTATCGGGCTCCAAGAAACTCGTGTGACCGGTGAGGCCCGTCAACACTCAGCCGACTTTCACATCATAGCGAGTGATGCAGACCAGGGACAGCACGGATGCCTGATCTGGTTTTCCAAAAAGGCGATTCTTGGCTGGCTAGATGACACTCCCCTCCACTGGGATGGGGCCGGCTTCAGTGTTGTCCTTCGCCGGCCACGGCTGTTGCTTGTTCTGGCTAAAGTTGGGACATACCGGATCGCAGTCCTCTGCGCTCATGCCCCAACATCCCGTGCCACAATAGGGGTCCGCAGGGCCTGGTGGGAGGAGCTGCACAGAGCCTTCGGTATGATTCCCTGCAATTGTGTGCCGTTGGTTACCATCGATGCCAACGCCCGCCTGGCGACCCCCCCTCAGTCAGATGAAGACAATGCGGCATTGTTACGACGCTTCCTGGCCCGACACGATTTGGCACATTCTGCATGCCAGGGCGATGATGGCTCAGAGATTGGCTCCTGGATCAGCCCCCTGGGCAATGCAACCTGCATCGATTATGTGCTGTACCCCCGGTCTCTGCATGGAGGGGTCAAGTCTCTTGGTGTCTTCAGCGGTTTTGTCGGTTTGGTTGAGCACGACCACAAGCCCGTACGGATCGAGTTGTCGGTCAGGCAGGAGGTCACGGTTGCTCAGTCTCGACCACGCCTGGACCTTCAATGCCTGCGCACACCACGGGGCCAGCGAGCGCTACAAGAAATGCTTCGTGCCATGCCGCTGGTTCCGTGGAATACGGGGGTCGACATGCACCTCGATGCCATAAACCGTCACATCATGCAAGGCCTGGAAAAGATCTGCCCCAAAGCACAGGCTTTTGCCAGAAAGCGCATCACCTCCGCGCGAACCTGGGATCTCATACGCAGACGGCGCGAGCTACGCCGGCAGAGCCACCAACAATGCCTTCACATGCGACATGCGCTGCTGGTCGACTGCTTTCGCTCCTGGCGCAGGGGGGCCCGCACCGTGTCGGTTGACACACATCTGCAGGGGCTTCACTTAGGGTTCCTAGGCCTCCAGATCAAGCGGATCTCCCGCCGGATCACTCAGTCCGCCAAACAGGATTCGGCCGAGGCCTCTAGGCAGATCTTTCAGGATGCCAGACAAGCTGGACCGGAGAAACTTCACAAGCTCTTCAAGGGAGTGCTTAAGACGGGGCGAGGATACAAGAAGCCCAACCTCACCCCAGCCCTCCTTCAGGCCGACGGCGTGCTTGCTCCGGAGCCGCTCGATGTTCTGGGTGCCCATTTCGCTACTGCAGAGCGTGCCACCAGGGTCGATGCTGCGGACCTTCGTACACCGTCGGCTCGGACGGAGTGTCTCACATTACAGGCCACTAAGACCTTCAGCATACCCAACATTATCCACGCCTTTGGTGGCATGGCAGCCAGAAAGGCACCGGGCATCTCGGGGGTGCCGCCGGAAATCTTCAGATTCGCACCCTCCCAGGCCGCCAGCCTCCACATGCCGCTGGTCTTAAAGATGCTCCTCAGGGGCCAGACTCCGACCCTCTGGCGCGGCGGCCGGGCCGCGGCCATCGAAAAACCTGGCAAATGTTTGACAGACCCGGCCGGGTGGCGATCGATTATGCTCATGGAGGCAGGAGCTAAGGGCCTAGGGGCCGCCATGAGGGCTGAACTTCTCTCGGGGTTCGATAAGATTCGGGTTGAAGGGCAAGGAGGGAGCCGACCAAAGGCTCCGATGCAAGCTGCCATGTCACAAATCCGCGGATTCGTGACCGACTTGAACCGTCGCCACCGCTCAGGCGGCGTGATTTTCGTTGATGGGCAGACGGCCTTCTATGCCACTGTCCGGCAGCGACTTCTCGGCCGTGACGCCTCACAGCCTCTGGCATATCTGGAGCATCTTGCGACCGTGCTTTTCGACGACAGTGATGACCGGGACCGCTTCATTGCTACCGCCCTTGCGCCAGGGCTGCTTGAGCACTGCCAGATTTCGCCTGAGGTTCGGCGAATGGTCGCTTCGCTACTAGACTCTACGTGGTTTAGCCTTACAGCCGGTGGAGACAGGCCGTACCTCACCCACACAGGCACCACGCCTGGGGCGCCCTTAGCAGATCTCCTTTTTCAATACATCTTCGCGACAGTACTCCACCAACTCCGCAAAAAGCTTGATGACCTTGATTGTAGGGCGTTTGCTGGAGCGGACCTCCGGGTTCAGCTGCCCGACCCCACGTGGATGGACGATCTCTCGGTACCGTTCCTCGCAGAACGTGCCGTTGATGTCGTCCCCCTTGCGTCAAAAGCATTGGCCGAGATCGCTGGGGCCATGCAGCAGATCGGGGTTCGGGTAAATTGGGCGCAAGGCAAATCCGAACTCTTGGCCATCTTCCATGGGGAGGGCGCGCGTTCGGAGAGAGCTCGCTGGAGCGCGGCCGAGGGAGGCACCTTCTGCGTCACATCGCCTGATGGATCCGCTGTTCGCGCTCACATTACGCCAGCCTACATCCACTTAGGCTCTCTTGTGGATGTACGTGGCGGTGACCTTGAGGACATCAGGCGCCGTCGTGTCCTAGCCCGCGAGCTTCAGAGACCACTCATGAAGCTCCTTTGCAATCCCTTCTTGTCGCCCGCCGAGAAGCTCGACCTCTTGCTATCTATGCCGGTCGCCCGGTTCAAGCATGGCAGTGGTCTCTGGCGCCTCCAAGGTCCAAAGGAGCACGAGGCCTTCAGAGCAGGATACATGGAACTGCTGCGCCGTGCCTTCAGGCCGATTGTTGGCTGCTCGTCCAGAGGCTTGACGGACGATGACATTTGCGACGGCCTTGGCGTCCTCAGTGCGGACGAACTCCGCATCACAGAGCTTGCCAGGCATGCTGGCTGGCTTGTTGCTGAACGGTCGAGTTCCATTCAAGAACTCTGGCTCAACGAAGGTGCTTGGCTGCAAGAGGCCAAAGCCGCTGTGGCGAGCTGTGCGCCAAGACAATGGAAGGGCAGCTGTCCATGGGCTGCACTAGTTCAGGAACCCAGTGCTATCAAGCCGGGCATCAAGGGTTTCGTCAAGCGCTGCAGAAGGATCAGGGCAGAGAGGGGCGCTGACAAGGCGCCCAAATGGCGGACAATTGAGCAGGCCAGAAAGGAGGGTTGGATTTTCTGTCATTTCTCCACCGAAGCTGATCACATTGCTTGCCATCGATGCGAGATTTGCAGCCGCAGTTTCAAAACCAGTGCTGCCTTGGCAGCGCATCGGAGTAAGACTCATGCTCGACAGGCTCTTGCCAGCCGGCTCGCTGGAGGCAGCCGCTGTGAAATCTGTTGCGTCGAGTTTTGGAGCACACGGAGGCTCACGGAGCACCTCCGTAAGTCGGTTCGATGCCTACAGGTGCTCGAAGCATCAGACACCGATCCTACGGATCATGTGCCGCAGCGCTTTCATTTTGCGTGGCCTCCCGCGGCCGCAGCACATGGGCCTAGGCCCTTCTGGGCCACACTAAGCCCAGAGGAGACAGCCAAGCCGACTGCTTCAGCAGCCCCGGTTGCAGCTTGGCCAATTTTGCCAGACATCAGTAAGGGCATTTACTCCAAGGGTCTGTCCGGATTTGTTCAGGCTGTTGTTGAGTTTGGGCTTGATACGGGGCTTGGTTGCGATGACGTGCCCATTGGCCTTATTGGTGTTCCGACCTGTTTGAAGGGGTTAGTGGATTGCTGCCTTTTCATTTCAGAGTCTTTCGGCTCAGCGCGAAGCGCGAGCTGGACTGTCAGGGGATCCTGGGCTGTTTCAGTTGTCGGGAACCGGGCAGTTTTCAAACCTCTTTCTGCTCAGCTTGGCGGAGAGCTTCCCACGGAGTGGCAAGCTTGTCTGCCATCTTGAGCCGGGACACATGCATGCAGTGAGTGCACTCGACGAGTTCTGCCCACCATTCCAAAAAGTCCCCTGATCCTTTAAGTAAGGTGGAGCTCTCAGGAACCATAGTTGCAATTCCCCACGCTTCTGTCGTATTCCTTTTAAATTTGAAGTATCCCTTATACAACCCGCCACCGTGTTTACCGTACCCCTAAATATTGAAAAACGCAGCTGCCGCTGTGGTGGCGTGCTTATTTCAGTGTATTTTGGAAGTACGCAAATGACAAGGCTGTTTTGCGTTTTGTGTGGGAGGCGTTGCTCGAAAAGGTTTACGCGCGTGTGTTGTGACAACGTGTCTTGCTCCACATCCTTGTGCAGCATGTTGTACCAAGAGCCCAAAATGCTGTAAATACCAGCGTTTTGGGCATGATCGCCAAAGGCAGTGACATGAACATCAACCTGACCATCTTCATCATCATCATCATCATCTTCATAACCATCATCCTAGCCATGCTCAACACCATCGTTTACCTGTTCATCTTCATCATCATACGGTCAACCATGTCGTTATTATCCCCCCCCCCCAGTCCCCAGTAGCCGATTTCACGGGTACGGTAAACACGCCGCTGGCTTATACAAGCACCTCTAAGGAACAAGAGCTGCTCTAAATCACTAACAACCAAATTCACTTCATCATAGGACCCTGACCAAAACCTTCAAAGCAAGAACTACAATGTTATAATACCCTATAGAGCTCTGGAACCTTATTAATGATAAGAACAGAGTGTCCTGTATTGACCACCACCATTTTTCAAAGTGCAAAAGCACACTACCGGGGACCCTTAACCCCTAAATCAACACCCCTGAACTCTAAATCCGAAGCCCCAAACTCTGAACCTAGCGCCGGTCCTGGACTCTCTTCAGCATCTGGGCCGCGATGGCTTCTGGCATCGACCTTGCCGAGGCGTCCTCCGGCGGCGAGGTTCAATTTTAGGGTTTAGGGTGTTGGTTTAGGGTTTCTTGAATAGGGTATAGGATTTGGGGCTTGTGTAAGGGGCTCCTCTAATTTAAGGGTTCTAAAAAGATAATTCTCATGCATGGGTTTAGTTTCGTTTTCGAAGGGTTCGTAGAAGGGGTATGGGGCTCCTTTGGGGGCTACTATAAAGGGTTATGATGTTAAGGAGTTTTGGGTGTTCGGGTTTAGGGGTTCGGATTTTGGTCTCAAGGCCATACGGAGGCTCTGTCACTGCTTTCGTCATGGTTCTTATTCCAGGAAAACACGACTAAGACAAACTCACCAGACAGTATGGGCCGAGGTAGCTCTCTGAATCGGGGTCCTTCCTTTGAATCCTTGCAACAATACATCACCCTTATACCAGTCAATGCAAAGGCGCCAGACAAGGGGCCCGAATTTCGAGAATTACACATTTAGAACAGGTAGTTCGGTGTTACAGTAGAGTGTGTAGTTGCCTTCGCTTTTCTTGGGCGCCTGAGAGAAGAGAGGCACGGCCGATGGCCCTGAGAGGGAGAAGGAGTAGCCGCCCACCACTGGGACCTGGCATTCGCCAGGTGCAAGGACTTCGTGGGATGCGGCTCAAGCACAGCGGCTGAGTTTCTGGGCTGTTCTTCATACGGAGGCACGTTTGATGTCTGTGTCTTGGCTGCGTGGTTTTAGGACTTGAGTTAAGATTCCCTCCCTGCTTGCAGCCACTGACAATGCAACTTTTGCAGCATGTAGCCCATCAAGCACAAACATGTGGGTGGTTGTCAAAATTAGGGTCCCTTTTTGGGTACCCTATGTATTAGGTGCCGTATTATAAGAAGGACCCACAAAGGGACCCTAATATTGACAACCACCCATGCGGCATTACGCAGGCAAATCCCAAAATCGTGAAGGTCCGAGTCGGCTCCAGCACGAAACCAGGACACAACGAGGTCCGGGCGCTGACATTCTCGATTGGAACATCTGTGGCCTGACAAGGCCGTTTAGGAATCACACCTACGGCCTTGGCGGTCAACGTCGGATTTACGCAACTTTGCATCTATGAGAGTTGCTCGACATTCCCCTTCTCTGGAGCCTGATGTGCGAACTTTCGCGAAAAGTGTTTGCCTGTGGGGTTCGACGTTTAGGGAAAGGTTAAGGGTTTCGGCTGGTCAGTTAGTACCAACATACACACGGAAGTGTTTATAACTCGAACACCGAAGCCACGCATTCCTCACCGCTCCTTGATACTGCAACAACATAGAAACCCTTGAAACCCACACGAAGCCCCTGACGACCTCGTGGACAAATTTGTTCGCCCGGACACTGTCCAGAGAGGTGATACCAATGACCTGCGTCGGGATTGCAAAATGTAGTGTCCAGGATAAGGGTTTCGGAGTTTTGCGTTTTGATGTCTAATATAGGGGCCTTAATAATTAGAAAAGGGTTTTGGGGCCCACTATACTATAGGTATCATCATAAGGAACACCCAAAATAGAATTTGTAATTATTAAGACCCCTATATTAGGTTCAGTGCATGGGCCGGTTTATGGGAACATGATTTGGTGCCCTTCCCTGCTTCTTGACAATGCGTGGGGTAGGTTCGAAGATTTTTGGAGTTTGATGGCCACGCGGGGTATGGTGTGCTTGGGGCAACCAGGAGGTTAAGGTTTACAGCTGCATGTCGCCTCGGAATACCTGCATCCCTTCTTTGCTCGACATCTTCAACTAAAGTTTAGTTACCGTATCTACAAAATCGTATTCAAACCGTATTGAAACCCACATTGGGAAATTACAGGCCGGAATTGCCAAGCAATAATCGAACTCTTGGAACTAAACCCTTAAAGCCCTCTTGAGCTCAACCCTAAAAGGCCAACGCCCCGAACCCTCAACCCCCATAACATGATTAGAATAAGGTTTAACGGGGCCCGGGGCCCATTATACTATAACTATAAATAATAAGGAACCCCCCCCCCCCCCACGGTAGTATAGGTAATTACCAAGGCCCCTACATTAACCCCTAGCCCCTCAACCTCCAAAATTCCAAGCGAGCCCGAGCCTTGTGGGGATCAAGCCCCGCCTTCTCGTAGAGCCTCGCGCAGCTGCGCAGTTGCTCTGGAGTTCATAGGGTGTAAGGGTGGGGTTTTGGGTTTAGGGTTTAGGGTTTAGGCTTTGGGGTGTAAAGGGAACTCCAGAAAGTTGGAATATGGTTTCAGGGTAGGATACCTTATAATTTGCCATGAAGGGTTTAGGATAATGATATTCCAAGTTTCTGGCTTTTACTTTAAGGGTGTGTCAGGCTTTTATAATTATGGCTCATTATAAGGTTTGAAAAAGGGTATTAATCTATAATTGGGTTTATAGGATTAAATTTATAGCTAGGGCTAATCGAGTCTTTACAGTGTTTAGGGTTTGTAGTAGGGGCCTGAATCATTTGAATAAGGCTTCGAGGTACATTTTAGATAATTAAAGTATATCGGGACTAGCAGGGGAAACTGCGGCAAATTATTCTGAAGCAACCCCAAACCCTAAAACCCAAAGCCTAAGGCCTGAACCCGAAGCTTAGGACATGAAAGCTGCAAGCCCATCCTCGCCATGGCTGGCACAATCGAGTTGAGCCTCAGTTTTAGCAGATGACTTTGGGTATAGGGTATTGGGCTTCGGTGGTTTGGGTTCAGGGTCTAGAGCGTATTAGGGTTCTTGAGCTTCGGGGCTTGGGAGTTATGGGTTTCGGGGCTTTGAAGGGTTTGTGGTTGTTTTGGATGGTCTAGGGACCGAATAATCCCCACACACACACACACACACACCCTCCTCCTCCCAACCACGCTTCATGAAATTCGGTCTATTACTTGGGGGATCATGGGACTCAGTAGGTGTGGTTAAAAGCGAGGCAACTATAACCCAAAGTAAGGTACTTTTATAAGCTTACTTAGTAAGTCCGATGATCCTCCAAGTAAAGGCATCTGAGAAGCCCTGAACACCGGGTGAGGCTGCAGTCTTGCACTTGGGCCAGGGCAGCCCTGTCCATTCCGAAAAAGCCTCAGCCTCTGATTCCGTCGGGCTGTGTAATATAGTTTCGGGACCTTTATACCATAACTAAAACCATTAAGACCCGTATAGTAAGTCCTAAACCTGCGACTCTTAACCCTAAATGCGTGTGAGTTGAGATCCCTAAGTACAGGCAGATGCACTTGTCCGACGGAAGGCTGTTTTGGCTGAGGAAAATTTCGAAGCGTTCGATGGAAGTTCTCGGGTGATTCAGGGCATTGGTCCTTAACATTTGAGGATTACCTTTCAAGGTTTGTGTTAACTTAGTTGGTTTGTCCCTTTATTTCACGTAGGTTATCAGCCGTAAGCTCTAAGCTGGGTTCTTAGTGGGACTAACGTAGTACTACTCTATTAAGAGGTGACCGGATTTTCGGAGTGATGGACCCGATGACTCGCAAGCGTCGAGGAGCTGTGACTGGAGAATCTGAGGACACCAATGTTTCTCGTGAGAGTGCGTATCAAGCAGCCTTGAGTCAGGTAGAGGCCGGAGGGGTCTCTAGTACAGGGGGCAGTGGTCTCCCTGTAAGTGGCGTCAGACAGGGTGAGGCTTCGCCTGGAACGTTGGAATCAGGAGAGGCAATGGGTGGGGAAGGTTTGACCTATCCTACGCCCAACCCGTTTTACAGTGATCATGCCAAGGCGGAAATTGAGTTGCTTCGTAGCAGGCCATCGACATTGGATGCAGAGGCACTCCGTCTAGGTGCTGAGTACAACGAGTCTGCTCTCGGTGACACAAGCATGACGGGAGGCCTGGGTGAGCCTAATTATGCCGAGGCGTTCGGAACGCTCGGATCTTCTCGGGATGTTCCCAGGGTTGCCCGAATTGAGTCTTCGAGTGAGGCAGCAAGGGTTGCTGAAGGCCGCCCAGAGGAGTCTGTTGAGGAGCATCTGGCGAGGGCTGTACCTCTAGAAGTCGAGGCTGTGACTGAGGGTGAGAGATCCAATCCTGGTGGAAAAGGGGGACCGATTGAGGGTTCCAGTGCTGCCGTAGTGAGCG